AAAAAAAAAAAAAAAAAAAAAAAAAAAAAAAAAACTAATTAAAAAAAAAATTAATAAGAGCATTGGAAAATGGGGAGCTTGAAGATATAGTAAACAACAAAATAATTTTTCTGCTCATTAATTACTCAGATAAAAATTTTGCTTATTTCTCATTTTTTTTTTTTATTACTATTTTTCAGAATTGTTGCCAGAAATACAATATTTGACACAATTTGCTTGTAAGCAGTCGTGAAAGAAATATGACATGTTTCTCCAGAAAAACTTCCTGAAAATGGAGCCAAAACATGTTGCCCAGGGTGAGGCTCGAACTCACGACCTTCAGATTATGAGACTGACGCGCTAACCAACTGCGCTACCTAGGCGCCGCATCAGTGACGTTTTTTTTAAATGCTGCCTCTGCGCTTACTGCAACATCGCTAAAGTATTGTTGCAGAATAAGTGAATAAATCACTTCTATGCTAAACTTTTCAGGCAACTTAAGTGAATATTATAAAAATTTTATTGCCATAGTATCTGAGTAGTATTTTATTTTCTGTCTGCTATGACAGTGATGCAGTTAACAAATTAATTTTTTTTGACTTTTTACCACCAAGTAAAATGACCACCAAAGGTCTGCTGTTTTCACAGTTTCAAGCGCCAAGTGTAAAAAAAAAGTTCCAGTTTTTGAAGCGATTTTTCATTTCTTTTCTTCTTTTTTTTTTTTTTCTTTCAAAAACATTAATCTGTCAGTTACCGAAATGTTATTGCCAATAATATTTTTTTCTTTTTTGATGGCTAAAGCAAATTTCTTTTCCTGTTTTTTTTTTTTTTCTGAATCATTTTTGATGCTTTTGTGAAAGTATCCAAATTTAAATGTGATACTGTGTGTTACGTCGTTAACTGTGTCATTTAAGCAAAAAATATAACTGGCTTTTCTTTTTTGTTTTCGTTTTTTTATTTCTGTCAACACGGCAACAAACTTGACGTCTGAAGTATTGTTCTTGGCTAAAGCAAAAACAGAAAAAAAACGACTGGTTTTTAAAATTCATGTAGATTTATACTAAAGGCACGCTTTAGAGTACCGACTTTTTGAATTCAACAATAATATATTGCAACTGTTAGATGTTTTTCTGCCTTTATATTTTGATATAAGTTAACTTTCTTCTTCTGTTCAAGATATATATGCCCACTCAAACCAGTACTTGTCCTTTTTCCTATTTCTATATTTATTTTAATTTGTCTTTTTTTCAGCTATACAGTTAGACTGGTCAGACTTTGGCATAAAACCATTTGACTAACCTGTAGTTTGCTCTAAGAGTTTTTGTGTGCCGAACTAAGTAAGTAAATTTACCTCAACCATAAGATAGATGGTTTGGAGGATTAATGAATTGACTGCTGAATTGTCATTGCTGTTATTTGAAAACTTATATCAACTGATTTTTTTACTTAGTAAAAAACTCGATTTTTGAATAATTCTCGAATGAGAATAAAAAAAAATTTTTTCATTTAATCAAAAGTAATGTGATTAAATCAGCAAAAATTCAACGTAATAATTTAACTTTTTTCTTTTTTTCCATTAACCTACAGTTTGAGCAACAAAGAAAACTGTGATCTAGTAAAAAAATTAGCAAAAGAAGCATTAAAACTATATTCAGTTTCATTAAAAACTTAACGATATCTGTGACTTGCCAAGTAAATTTGCTGTAGGTGAAAGGTATATGGCATTACCATACAAATTGTTGGTCTTTGTAGCTAACATAACGCCTAACAGCAACAAATGTTGTTAGATTCTAAAAATTAAGCAACAGTTGTAGAAATGTGTGTCAGTGATCGCTGTGATCAACTGACTGCATATCATCAATAACCTTACCACACAGCAGTAATTCTTCAGAATACTGCATAACCTTTTTTTGTTTAATACTATAAATTGTGAAGTTTTAGATCAAAAAAAAAAAATCTCTTGAGCACTGCTCAATGATGACAACAATAAAGTACCAGAAGAACAAAAAAAAGGCTCAATTAAAAGATTTTTGTGCAAATTTTGACAGTCTACTAAATTTTGAATGTTGCCTGAACATTTTTTTTTGTTTTTGAGAATAAT